GTACGTGCTCGTGTTGTAACGGTAAGACGCTCGACACGTTCTTGCCGACGCAAACACACAACAACTAAGCATCGTCTTATATATATTCGACGCGTCGCGAGCAGAAGATGTCACACGACGGCCGAGTCGAGTCGTGGCGACTCGCCATTGTGGCCGGCTCATTGCTATTCATTGGTTTCAAACGAGGTGCCGATTGCAACTCGAAAATGCATGCGGGAATGATTATTGTTCACTTGTCGGGTTGAATGCGGCACTGCCGCGCTCGCTCGCGGTACCTGCTGGCTTTCAGGCGCTCACGAGTACCAGCCGAGTTTACACTCTCCCGCCGTAATGTATTCAGTGCAGAACGCAGATAAATGGATAGCTTACACATTCATGTGCAGTTGACGGATAGCAGGTTTTCGGGAGGGGGAGAGCTCCCACCGTATTGTGGCCACTTAATTATTCGGGCACTTCACGTTGCGTCGGGCTTTTCTACGTCGAGACGGCGGTGTTTTTCTTTAATATCAAAAATCTAGCTAGCGTTTCTAAATGTAATTAATTTCGTATTCATGGCGAATATTTTTTACACTTGAAAAGGACACTGTCGGAGGGGAAGGGGGCCATGTGGGAGAGGGTCCCCCTGAGTGGAAAGTCGTGGTGCCAGAAAGGTGTTGCGACGGCCCGTATATCGGCTCAACAGTGGCGACGCGGCACTTGCTCCCGCACGGCAGCTGGTAACTCTTTATGCGGTATTATTCGTAACGCCTTCGCCGCCCCTGCACGCTACTTAATGGCCTTTAATGGGCCTGGCTGTCCCTTTCATTCGGTTCTAAACAGTTGTCGTTTTTTACAACGTATTTTTCACAAGTGACGTGTATCGTGAAAGAGGGGCGTGCGGACGAGCATGCCCACATGCGCTACCGTTGCACGCAAACACACACAGCCTAGCCTAGCTAGCCGTGCATATGCGCTAAAACAATATTTCTACGGTGCCAATATGGTGCCGCCGTCTCACACACCTTAAGCCTCTTCAGGCACACATGTTCGTTTTGTATTACGTCCGCTAACTGTGCTGTATTGGCTAACTAACCAAGCCCTCATATTGCTCGCTTACCCTCGTCTAGAAAGTAGAAGAATATATATGCATTGTCTTAAACGTAAAAAATCCGCTTTTAGTAATATTTGCCTTAGGTATATAGACTTATAAGAAAAAAAGCCTATTATTAAACACACGGCTTTAGTTCTGACAGTCGTTACAGACACAAAAACGTGGGCGTTCCGGTGGGTGGCTGTCGACATAACCCACACGCAACCCAACATCATGCAATGGAATTTTTTTGCGCTACTAGAGTAAATTTGAGTTGAAAACGCGATTATTAAAAACCGGTCGGTTCCGAGTGTTGCCGTGCTTGTTAGCACTTCAGCATAGTGTCGCATGTAAGCTACACGATTATATGTCCGCGTCATTGATACGTTACCGAACACCACGATAGGCGTCGCCGTGTAATTTCAATCAGGGGGGAAAATGAGAGAGACATAAGGAGATAGAGAACGAAGGAGAAAGAAAGGGGGCGATATACGCGATAGGAAGCAAGGATGAAGAGAACGAAAGCGAGAGATATACAGAAAAGAATAGGCAGAGAGAGAGAGAGAGAGAGAGAGAGAGAGACGTGAGATAGAGAGAGTGAGAGAGATCTAAAGAGAGAGAGAGGGGGAGGGGGAGAGATCGAATGAGAGAGAGAGAGAGAAAGAGAGAGAGAGAGAGACAGAAAGTAAGAAACGGGAGATCAACAGAAAGAGATAGCCGGAGAGAAATATTAAGCGTACAAAGAAATAATGATAAATGTAGTTCTTTTCGGTAGCATAATCTTGCACCAAACCAGGGGCGTAAATCCCCGCGGGGGGATGGGGGGATGGCCTGTATAAATGTCCCTGTATAAATGGCCTGTATAAATGGCCTGTATTGGTACAAATGGTACTGGTACTTGTACAAATGGTACTTGGTAACTTGTACTTGTACTTGGTAACTTGTACTTGTACTTGGTAACTTGTACTTGTACAAATGGTATTGGTACAAATGGTACAAATGGCCTGTATAAATGTCCCCCCTAAGATTCAAAAAAAAAGAAAAAAAAAGAATAGCCACAAAAAGTATGGTTGCAAACATACAGAAACACGTGAAATTGTGAGAAATTGCAATTGTTTTAATACATGTATTATTACTATAGTAACCTAACTGTGTATGCTCTCTGAAAAGTCATGAAAAGTGTTTTGAATACTAACTTGTAGGGTTGAGTCTAGGGTTAAGATAGTGTCATCAGACATGAGAATATGGCCCACAGTATGCCTCAGATTGCAGGGAAAATGGCTTAAATATTTCAAAATTTTCTGGGGGGCATGCCCCCAGACCCCCCTAGCACTGGCATGCCTACGGCGCGCGGGCCTGCCTGCGGCAGCCAAGGTTAATTTAGCCCCGGCTATCGCCAATCATCCCCCCACTCCTCGGTACTGATTTACGCCTCTGCACCAAACATATATCCCCCATATCTTCTGCATTTGCAAGTAATGCGCTAATTGATATATCAGAATAATATACGGGAAACGCAGACTGGAATACGTGGGGTTTAAAAATTTCGTGGCATTCGGATGCACTAACTCGTATAGAAAATCATTGTGAAGGTTGATTCTCTCATAGGAAATTGCTGCGGTGTTGTATTTCACGGGCGCAGCAGTATACGCTTTCTCGTTATTGTTGTGATTAGCAAATTAAACCTATGCCTATAGTTTAGAATACTTTGCCTTTATGTTTTTGGTACGGGTAGGTAATACCCATAAGAGCCATTAAATGACAAAATATCGATAAACATCAATATATATATATTATCAAGAGCGTATAAAGAAGGATAATAAAGAATAAGCCTTCTTTATACGCTCTTGATATTATATAAATATATATATATATATATATATATATATATATATATATATATATATTGTGCACTGTGCAGCACAAAAAGGCAACTGAGAAGAAGCGACAGAAACGCGACGTGAATCTACTCGTAATATTCTTTTTTTTAGCGAATCATTTCGGTTTGCTCTCGTCTCTACGAAAGCCCAGAAGGCTCATGCGAAATGCGAAATGCGAACTGCGAAATGCGAAAATGCAAAATCCGAGATGAAGATTACGAGGTCTAAGGTGAAAACACCTGACGGGAGCACTAGAAAGATGAATTTATTTATGTGTAATGCAAATTATTTCATTTAAACGAAAAACTGGCCCACCACTTTTAGAAATACTGGCCCAGTACAATTTTCTGCGAAATGGCCGCCATCTTTGTCTTTGTAGTAATTAATACCGGCCATGCGATTCGTCAAGACCAACACATTCTCTGAATGGTTGCTTTAGATTTCGCATTTCGCATTTCGCATGAGCCTTCTGGGCTTTCGTACGTCTCTGTTGACGGTCGCCGGAAAACGCGATGCGGACCACAGTAATCATTACTTCGCGCACTTACCCCCCTCCCCCCACCACCATACCACGACATCCACGCACACGATGCGCGCTAAACGATGTCTATAGCGACGCGATTGACATCATTTTAGGCGCGGCGCGGTGCCAATACTCGCTGCAGCGATGGGCGATTTGCGCGGGCAATAGAGCTGCGTATTTTGCTAAGCGTTTAAGAAGCTATGTTAACGAGCGAGGCTTTTGACATGCGAGACAGCGGCGGCATTGTGGCCGGCTGTAGATCGACACGAACCGCAGTGTTAGTTCGCGTCCCCCCTCTCCCTCTCCCCCTCCCCCTCCTCCTCCTCCTCCTCCCGCTAACCGGCGATGTTCTCCCGATGAATAATATCAATTGTATTTCAGTTCGTCAGTGTGAAACAGTTTCGGCAATTCAGCGGCAGATCGAGTCACACGCAGCCGCACAGTACGCAGAGATGAACAGAAGAGGTTCTCAGTGAGCGCTGTATCGCAGCTCCCTGCCTTCCTTCTAACTAGCTGCTGTCGCATATTCATCGCCGCGGCCAAACCACGCGAAATCGTGCGCATTCGCCGCCGGACAATAAACAGACGGAGGCTTTCTTTTTAGCGCTGTCGTTATAGTCGTTGACCCGGCCCTATTGCTCGCTACTACAGGTAGGAAATTGTCCGCAAACCGTGGGGTTCTCACGATCCAGCTGCCGCATTGGCGCTGCGGGCGAATTTCTGCCGATCCGCAATCTTTAACAGGCGATTAAGATGTTGACCGTTGTTATTAATGAATTTTGCACAGGGGAGAGATAGTGATCCGCTAGGGGACGGCTCTGATTGGCTAATTTTGTTTTTTGTTTATTTTATTTTTTATTATTTTTAGCTAATTTTGTTTTATTTTAGAATTAGGGATAGGGTTAGGGTTAGGGTTAACCGATTTCTATATCCACAACTTATTTCTATTTTCACTATCTCTCCCCTGAAACCTACTAGTTATTACTCGTAACGCGGGTGTACATACGCATCCGCCGCCATCGCTGCGTAACGGTGCGTGGTGGTCGGGGCGCAACGCGTACTGGCCGTGCCCCGTCGATGAATTGATTGTATATATTGGCAGCGATATATTCTCTAGTAACGAGATCGATTTCGTAGTTTATATCTTTCCGCTTTTATTCCGATCTAGAGTTGCCCGACTACGTTAGAAGTCTGTAATGCACGCACCAGTATTGGTTATTTCACCAAAGAGAAATCCTATTTGATAAACGTGCAATCGTGTTGGTATTGCACTTGCTTCTTCCCTTCAGTCTTTAAACTCAAGGCTGTTGAGTGGGGTTGATTTTCAGCTTTAGCTTTAATAATTTATCGATTAGGCCATTTTGCCGTGTCCCTTGTACATAGATGGCGTGATGAAAAAATAACATGGCGACGGAAAGAATTGATATGTAACTAAATTATAGCCTGACTGACAGAAAATGCGGATTTAGCAGCGTTGGCAGTAGTTGCCGTATTGCTATATTACCATATTAGGTGTCGTTCTTTATAG